ACAATGCTGATTTACGCAGTCACATGCTTTCACACGCAATCATACCCCTACACACATACAAGTACAGGTAATCACAAACACACGCATGCACACACACACACACACACACACACACGCAGTCACTGATATTGTTTTTTGTGATTCTGGTTATTTCTGCCATACTACCATCTTATGGTTGTGATATTCAAACAACACACACACACACACACACACACACACACACACACACAAAAAAGACCAATATCACTGAAAAAAAATTGTCAAACAAACATAAAAAATATATTAAGTCTCAACAGACTTAATTAATATTCTTTTTCGAACCTACTCTAAAGGCACTGCTAAATTCCTTATTAAGTGACTTAAGGAAATATTAACCTTCACAAGTTGGATTTTCGGAGTTCCAGGTACCATCAGCTGTGCATCGTACAACATTGTTCCCAGTCAGTCTGTACCCCGCCAGACACTCAAACTGGATTTCTCCGCCCACTTCAAGGCCATTCACACTTCTCTGGCCGTGCTGTGGCGTCCCTGGATCTGTACAGCGTATGGCTGAAATATTGAACAGTACATAGAAAATAATAATCATACATGCATACATATATGTGCTTATGAAAGAGGTCTAGGGCCCATACATGTGAAATTTGTTGTGCATGCTAAGATGGGGCACAATTCTATAAACCTGTATTATACAAGCCAGCTAAAACTGTTAATACACAGACAGCCTATCTCAGTTGAAAAAAAAAATTCAGATTGAGTGACTATGAGCGCATTCTCAACGAATTAAGCCAGGCTTTACAAAGCCGGTGACCTAAAAATGGCGGACGTACATGAAAGAAAAACCGCCTAATCTTTTAATAGTCTCTCCGCCTCTCACACGCCTCCCCACACGTCGTCCCTGCGGGGTACAGTAATTAAATCTCGGCTCCGAACATTAATATTTCCGTGAATATCTCTGGTGATATTATCTCCTTAGATAGTCGATTCATTGCTGCTCTACGGGCCAAATTATTCCTTTTTCGTCTCTGTTTTCAAAGATAATAGAACAGAAGAGCTTTTTTTTTCGATCGCCTTCAGCCGCTATGCCTTCTTCACCACGAGTTTAACTGATGAGCATGCGCACTTAATATTTCTCAGGTAGCTTCCGCATGGCGAACGGAGCCGAGATTTAATTACTGTACCCCGCAGGGACGACGTGTGGGGAGGCGGAGAGACTATTAAAAGATTAGGCGGTTTTTCTTTCATGTACGTCCGCCATTTTTAGGTCACCGGCTTTGTAAAGCCTGGCTTAATTCGTTGAGAATGCGCTCTATGCCTGTAACTACAAGCTGCATATAAAACTAACATGTGTGAAGTTAATAAGAAGATACCCTATATTAAGCTTTTTTTTCAGTATTGGAATTATTTCATTCATATTCATCAAGAACTAATTAAATTAAAAATAAGTAAATAGATTAATATATTCTGATACACGTTCCCATTCAAAAAGACCTATGTGTACTTTGAGCTACTTTACCACCCAGCGTGTACCTACCAACACAAGATCGTCCATCCATGAGGAGACGATAGCCAGTATGGCAGCTACACACCACGGTTTGCGACATCATATTACAGATCTGGGTGCAGCCTCCATTGTTGAACCCACAGTGTCCTGATCACAGGAAACAAATGTTAATGATGACAAATACTTAATATCATCTCCATTTGATATCTTTCTTCATTAACTCATGCTAGTACCATGTATTGAAATTTCAGTTAATAATCTGCAGTAAAAATAATTACTAATGTTTATTCATAATTAGATGAACTTGGATAAGTTAATATTTAATAAAAATATGATCATTCTGAAGTACAGCGATGACTAGCATTGAGGTAACGATAACATCTTCCCTCTCTTTCTTTATCTCTCTCTCTCTGATACTTACTAGGCGGCGTAGTTGGGATAACGTTATTGTTCAAGCCTCTGGTGGTGACCACAGCAGGTGGCTGGGTGGGGACAGTGGGAACTGAAACATGGAGTTGTTCATTTGTACATCAAAAGCCATTGTTTACAGCATTCAGGAGCACAGATATGTTACAACCACTAGCAGATAACTGTATAGGGGCCAAAGTGTTAAAATATGAAACTAGTTTTGTACATGTATAAGTCCACATTACTTAAATTCTATGGATGACATCCTCTGGGACTACAAAACTAATAGGAGAGGGTGAAAAAAAAACTCTAGCAAAAAATAACAATAAATAAATAAATAAATAAATTGAAGGTTATTTTAATTAATTACTTAAAGGGATAATAACTCTTCGAATGAAATCTATATTTCACAATATAATCAGTGTAAGCAACTCATAGAAATATCATGTATTTTGTTTTACCACAAAAACAGTAATCATAGCTATTATTCTGATATTTGAGCTTGTCTTTAGACCACGTGACCTCCACTGATGGCTATACTCTGTTAAAATCTCTTAAGAGATTATAACAAAAAACAAACTTTTTTAAAAAAATAAAAAACAGGGACTAACTTTGAATGTAGAAATGGATTAATTAACCATTGGTAAGTATGGGAAAATTGTTGTTTACTCCAGGAAAATTCATTTTTTGGCCAAAACGAACAGTTATTATCCCTTTAACAGTAAAGCAATACAAATCTGGAAACCCAAATTGAACAACAGAACAGTAATATCTCGCACAAACAACACATCCTTATTTGCTGTTGAACTTGTGAGACCCCTGAACCACTTTTGGGCCACCATATACCTTAACTTTCCTCCCATTTCTCTCATCGTTGAAACAGAAACGTGTGAGCCTCTCTAGATAGGACGTCTTTGAATTTAACTAATAAAAGTCGCTCACTGCCACCAGTCTCTCGCACAGTTCAGCAAATTTGCCAACACCAAATGCAAACCAATCTACAATCACGCCCCCGTCTTCTTGTGAACTTTTATGGTTATATATTTTGATGACAACAACTCAACTGCCACAAGGTTCATTTTGAGGTTAAGATTCATTCTAAGCAATCAGTTCCAAAGTTCTGAGGTAGTGATTTTATTTTCAATAACAGGCCATAATTAATGAGCATGTTGATGTCATCCATAAAATTGAATCAGTGTGGCCTTATGTGAATTTAATGTCATTTGTGACTAATATATCATGTTTTAAATGTTTTGACTAAATCAAAACTAAATTATAAAACAACATAAAAAGTTGTAACCACTGAACTGTAGTTATCCATTGCTAACTTACTGCTACAATGGCCAGAAGCACAGGTGTCTGTACATAAATATCTTCTACTATATCAGTGACATCATACACTGTATATATAGTGGTACTTATATTTACCTGTGGGTGCTGGTGTCACAGGTGTCTGTACACTGGGAATAAAAGTAACAGGACCTCCTGGCTGCTGAACTCCTGGGATAAAAGTGACTGGGGCTTGTGTAGTTGGTGTCCCTAGTCAAAAAGAAGTTACAATTTACTGTCCTGACAAATGAAATGTCTACTGTGGCTTTAATGGGCAGCATGTTTTTTTGAAAGAGATTTATTCTATTTTTTTTTTTTTTTTTGTAGATTTTCTCGGCAAGAAAAGTATTTTCGTTGTCTTCACTCCCCACTATTTACATCTCCAGTTTATAGACGAGACAGAAAAAGAAAGTGATTTTGATTTGATTTTTTTCATCCTTACAATGTAAATTATATAAAATATATAAAGGAAACAGTTATAAATACATGGATGACACAGGGAAGTGAAAACATACGTCTCCATTGTGGTCCATTTAGGAACGATCGCAACTAACAAAAATAAAAATGAAAGTTTCGTTGCCATAACAGAAACATTTCTTAAGGAATATCTTTACTTATTTCATTATTACATTTTGTTTTCTTCACATGCCTTTTCTTTCTTTGTATACAAGGTCATCAGTAAATACATCACCTTGGTGTATAGCAAAGTTTTCTAGGCACTTGCTCTACCACTAACATACTCTCCCATAATGTACACCCAATCCAGTGCCAATGTCCATAAACCCAAATAAATATATCTCCCTGACTTACTAGACTGATTTCATGCAAAATTTATATGGCTGAACCGCTGTTTTGTATTTATTATGATTTTGAAGGATGTGAATGAAATCATACACATGTACTGATAGCATCAAAGGATAAGGAAGCAAATACTAACTACTAAAGCACTCAGAAAGTACATACCTCACCCAACCAACTCAACTCTCATTCATTATTTATTAATTAACTTATTAATTAATTGTTACTTATTATTTATCATTTAACTACCCCAGTACTTAAGTATTTAAGTTGTCATTATAAGCAATAATTGCTTAATTAATCAATTGACTTATTAATTGGTTGGCCAATTAATAAACTAATTAATCACTCTAGTATGAAATCACCACCAAAAAATAACCCATTTCCGACCTATCATGAATATTTAACCAAAAGAACTCCATTACTTTTTTGCATAAAGTTCCTAACAGACTAGTATACAGCATTTACTAGTAATTAACCAATTAACAAATTAATTATTAATTATTAATAAATGCTTCATAATCAAAATTTAATAACTTAATTTAAGTTAGCTGCTTTAGCCCATGTATGACCTATGCCTGAAATTTCATTAAAATCCACCCACAATTGTTTGAGTTAGTCTGGTGATCAACAGAAAAACGGAGGTGATAATACAGTGTATGACCTTCTTGGCGGAGGTCATACAACTAAAATGCACCCCTTTCGACAAGTTAGCCTTGGAAAGTTTCCCCACATACCAAAGAATCATTTGCATATAGTGATCGTCAACCGCGGTTGATGGTGAAATAAGACATCCTAAATATCCTCCTAAATATCTCTTGGTATTACTTCTCACGTTCATCATACTTGAAAATTGGTAAAACATCAACGGGAGATTCCCGCTCGGCTTCACTATGCATGTAAGGCCACACTTTTTTATTTTTATGGATGACATCCTCTGGGGACCCCAAAGTCGGTGCGAGCGGGCGAAAAAA